CAGAGGGTTGCGCGCGCATGGGACAAATCGCACTCTCGCCTGCATTTGGTGCACTCGACACGCACGATCTCCGCAGAGGGTTGCGCGTCAAGTCTCCAAAACGAGCGTTTCGTACGAGACTTCCTCAAAAACTCACACGTCAAAGTCTGCAAAACGAGCGTTTCGTACGAGACTTCCTCCAAAAGTCAAGCGGAAACACCCATCGGAGCACACACATCACGCAGCCCTGCCAAGCAGTTTCGCGATTCCAGCCCCTCCAAACAACATCCGCTCACACGCCAATCCCAATGGGACAGCGACATTCACCTCTACCACAACTCACAACCTCACGATTCCCTGCGCCTGCCACGAATCTTTCCCCATCCACACGTCTAACGCGCACAAAGTACTGCGCCTGCCACGAAATGTCACCTCCCTCACACCTCGCAACCTCACGATTCCCTGCGCCTGCCACGAGAATTGCACTTCCACGCTTCAAAGCCCGCACGAAGTCCTGCGCCTGCCACGAAAAGTGACAATATCATCGCATGTGAGCTTCAACAAAATTTGCACCACACCACACGTTTGGAATGATTTCGACCCGTTCAGAGCACACTCCCATCCATCAAAATCGCCATTTCAGCTGAGACTTGTCACGAAAACAGAGCTTCGATGCCACGCCCTGAAACGCAAATCCCAATGGCACGGCCACATCCAACACCCCAAAAACACGACTCTCCAAACGCTAATCCCAATGGAACTGCGCCGTAACCTGCGGATCTCACAAAACGCTGCGCCTGTGCAGCGAAGTGCATCACGTTTCTTGCGCGACATGTCCGTGTCACACAAATCACAATGGAATAGCGGCGCAAACTGACACGTGACACATCCATGCAAAGTCACTTGCAAAAGCTTCCCCCAATGGCAGCAAATTTGAGACGCGACGACGACGAGAGACGACGAGAGACGACGACACGACGCAAGCCACGCGAACACAGCTCCAACCCCCAGACCCCCAACTATAAACGGGAACCCTTCGCTACGCATTCGGGAAACATAACAAAACAATAATTGCAATGCGCAACCGTTCTTCAATTGTCACATCCAAGGTAGCGACCTCAAGCGAACAAGCAACATGCCTGCCTAGGGTATCTTTTACAGGTCCCATTGCCTAACCTTCGACGGTGCCCAATTGTTGCCTACTTCTTGCAACCGAAAACCAGGAGAGTCGTACGATGAGTCGTACGGGTCATCCCACAGTCGTCCCGTCCCTTCGGCCGGTTCTGCCTGTAGCATCTATGATGGTAGCGCCACTGACCAGCCTCACCGCTCACGAACAACATGCATATATATATATATATTGTTTTATATTCAGTACAAGTGAAATCGCGTTGACCATCATGGGATGATCATGTCAACGACTTGGAACTCTTCTGGCCACAGCTTAGAAATATATATATATATGTGTGTGTCTGTGTGTGTGTATGTTTTCCAACATTTGACTATATTTTTATGTTAAAATCATAAATATCTACACAAGCTGGCACGTGAAGAACACGCGCAATCTGACACAAAGGACGTGTGAATGGGTGTCAAGTGTTGCTGTGGGACATGCCATGTACGCTTGGGTGCATGTGCGCATATTTGCTGTGCGACCTTGCTCTTCTACCGGTTTTGCATGGATGAACATGCCAGCCGCAAATGATGTGGCTGAAAGGTTCATGCTCTTAGCAAAGCCCACAGAGAACTGTCAAGTGCGCCTCCGCTGCTTCACAGAGGCCACATGGGCAGCTTGTAGCATGTCTTCCAGCATGAAGACCCACCTTGTAAGAATGACCAGTGAGAGTGGGCACTCACCAAAGCTCAAAAAGAAAACAACAAACTGCAACCGTGGGAGCATTTTGTGTTTTTCACTCAGGAATCACGTCAACGAGCTGCAAATTTTGAAGCAATGGAGCCAAGCTCTCGCGGGAGATCCCTGCCATGTCGCTGGACACGGCACGGCCCAGCATCACGGGCCTCAGTAGCAATCCTCCAGGATGGGTCTTGTTTGAGCATTTTGGCCGGGGATCTCCAGATTCTGGAACTGAAGATCTATATATGAAGCGACAAGCACATCGGTCATCCAAACACAGGCTGCCTGGGCCGTCCGAACCCACCAAATGAATCCGATGGCAAGCGTTCTGCCGCAAAGAGCCCTGTCGCAAACTCTGCACGTTGGGACCTCACAATGCCAGCGCTTTGAGTCGAAGAATGAAAAGACAAATATCATGGACCATATGTTCGACGGTGCACACATACTGACACCCTTTCTACTCGAACATGCAGCCGTCTTACAGTCCGTCCACTGAAGTGGAGGCCTATCTCAGGCATTCGGGAGGAGCTAGGCCGGAGGTTCTGTCACAGGTCGCAGTATCTTCGTTTACGTCACTCATTTACATAGGCCTGCAAACTCCTGTCCTACTTGTCCTATTTATATATGTTGGCCTGCTTGAGTGAGAACCTCCAGGTGAAACCATGACTGAATGCCTGACTCGTATCTATCAGGCCCTATGGTACTGCACTAAGACATCCCATGTCATCTTCTTCCAGCTGCTTCTCAACCAACGCCTTCACTTTCGCATAGTAGCCCTGGCGGTCCCTCACAAACAGGGACTCAGCATCTGGATTGGCACCACCCTCAGGTGTAGCATGGGTGTCTGGATCAGCCAGCAAGGACTGGATTGCTATCAGAATCGTGCGTGCATCATAGGCCGGAGACCAACCAGCTGCCAAAAGATCCAAGCAAATCTGGCCGTTAGGGAAGACATTGGGATGGAAGACTTCAGTCTGGAAACGCACAGCAGGAGGCTTTCCAGGGTACTCTGGAGGGAAACTCATGTTCAATTTCCACACGCCGCCTTCCCATGCTGTGCCCTCTGGCCCCAACACAATCGCTGACCATTGGAAAAGGTCATCACCAACTGGGGCGGCTGAGACGCCCTTCGGTGCATCCGCTGTCATCTTTTTGAAGTCGCGCAGGAGACGACGTTCAGCAGACTGAGCACTCCCAGACGCCATGTTGCTGCAGTGGCTCGAAGCCTAAATTATGTGATGAATAGCACGAGGTATGTAAGTAGACTAAGTAGACCCGACTTAAGGCTTAGACACACAGCGTCATACTACAGTCGATTGCAGTTCTAAGTCTTCTAAGTACTTTTCTAAGTAGTTTGAGTAGGGGCACTACAGGATCTACAGGAACACAAAAAGGACGATTGGTGACTCTCCTATGCTCGGTTTGGCATGCTGGACCGGCTCGGTCCACGAGCCACACTGCACGGTGTCAAGGG